ACCCACCAGCCACTCCGTGGGAGAAAGATGAGGTAGTCTGCTTCTGTAAAGATTTATGGCCTTGGAAATTCTCTGTGGCAGTTCTACCCTGTCCTATAGGGTCACTATGAGTTGCAAACTATTCAAGGGCAGTAGGGGTTTTATCTACAAAGGGAGGAGTAATTTAAACTATCAATGATCAGCAAAAGCCAATTTTTACAAATAACATAAATATCCTTCTTACAATAGATGCTGTTAAATGCCAGCAAGTCATTTCCGACTCATAGCGACCCCATGAACAGCAGAATCAAACACCGCCTGATCCCGCGCGAGCTCCATGATCCCTGCTATACTTGAGCCCATTCTCGCAGTCACTGTGTCAATCCGTCTCGTTGAAGGCCTTCCCCTTTTCATTGACCCTCCACCTTACCAACCACGGCATCTATTACAATGGATAGAACCTGTAATTCTGAACTATAATTTACCACAAAATATACTAAGACTGGCTAAACTAAACCAAACTCACTGCTGTCAAGTCAGATTTGATTCATAGCGACACCTCCTTGGGTTTTCAAGGCACTATCACTACAGTAGATTGCCCAATCTTCCTTCTGAGGAATGGCTGGTGGGTTTGAACCACCTGCTTTCAGGTTAGCCTTAGGCACTACAACACCAGAGCTTCTAAGAGTGGATGAGATATAAATAAAACACAATCTTTCTTTTATACAAGAGACAGTAAACTTATGGAAGATGTTATCTAAGGAAAAAGCAAAACCCAAAAAAATACAAATGGCTTCTGGATTTGTGGCAGTTTCTCCAACTTGGGTGGATATTAGAATAACCTAGGGAGCATTCAAAAACACAGATGTCTGGGCCCTGCTCCATATTTATTGGCTCCCTAAGGGTAGGGCTCAGACACATTATATGTATCTCTCTATATATTTGGTATATATGAACGAATGCACTGCTGTTGAGTTGGATCCAACTCATAGGGACCCCTCTTTGGGTTTCCGAGGTATCACTACAGAAGTAGATCGCCCAACCTTCCTTCCAAGGTTTAGCTGGTGGGTCTGAACCACCAGCCTTCTGGTTAGCAGTCAAATGCCTTACGCACTATGCCACTGGAACTCCTATTTGGTATATACTGGTAGATATTTAAGTTTCAAAAGTGATTCTCACCTGTACCTACATCTGAGAATTGCTATTTTAGTCACGAGAAACTTTGAGTTTGAGCAAGTTGGTCATGTTTGGCATATTATATTTCTCCACGTTCTTCTAAAGCATGTTTTTGAAAAACAAACAATATTCAGCTAAAGAACTGATTAACCTAAAATGACTTATGGGTTTATGAGCAGTGTTCTAAAAAACAAAACAAAACAAAACATTCACTTGAGTTTGATTTAGGAGTCAGAAAATGCCATATACATCCCAAATAGCACATTTATATTCATTGAAAAGCTTGTCTGCTAGACTGGTATTAATTCATAAATTTCAAAACAGACTTACTTAAGTAAATATATATATATTTAACTATGTGCAATATTTACAGCTCACAGATTTTACAACTCGAAATTATACATTTTAAACTGTAAATGTGTGAAAAACTTGAAAAACAACTTTACCTCAAAAATATTTACAACAATTTTCCAAATTAAGCCTCACAGGCTCAATTTAGCTCAATAACCTGGTTGAGTAGCCTAGTCTCTAGGTATAGAGTAATGGAGATCATACCAAGAGATAGAATTTTCTATACAAAAGTAGAAGGCATTAAAACCCTTCGGTCTTTGAAATCCTATAACAAAGCCCCTTTCACCCTCCAATCCTGAGACAACAAATCCTGCAGTTCTCCCTCATCGTCACTGTCAACATTTTCCTCTTCCTTTTTCTGCAGTTCTTTTATGGTCAGAACCTCTTTAAGCTTATTTTTTATTTCATCCTGGCGATTCCGCAGCTTTTCCACTCGACGGTAACACTCTATCTGCTCATCGATCTCCCCAATCTGCCGGTCCAACCGTCCCTCCTCATCTTCTTCAGCAACTATGGCTTCGGAAATAGTGTTGACCTGCCTTATAGCTTTTTGAAATTCGTCCCACTCTTTGTCCATCTGATCCTTCGGGGCATCAACCTTTCGAACCCTCGCATCTACTTCAGGGTCATCAAAAAAACCTTCTGGTAATGCTTCCGCAGTGTTCTCTCTCCTTTCCACCACCTTTTCATGTATTTCTGCTTTCTCAATTGACCCTGAATGAGGGATTAAGGGGGCCTTGGGAGGATTTGTATCAAATAAATCGTTTGGCAGCACACTATTTGCTGTCTCTCTCGAGGAGGCGAGTGAGTGTTCCTTGCCCTGTGCGTCAGGCGGCACCCTGCTAGCGTCCTCCTTTTTCCCTTCTCCCTCCTCCTCTTCCTCCTCCTCCTCTTCATCTTCATAATCAGGGAGTAAACCTAGTCTTGCAGTATTACTGGGGGTCGCTTTAGTGGACTCCTTTCCTGTTTTATCAAAGTTAGTGGGCAAAGCGGACGTGGAAGGCTGTACCTGGGGCACCGTGGAGGCCTTCGCTCTCTTGGCATCTCGGTCCTCTGCGTCCGTTGCCTTTCTTTTGGCGGACTGATGCTCTGCACTGGCGGACAATCCCTGGGTGGCTTCCTTCGTGCCTTTCAGTTCCGCCACTTTCTCTCTGTGCTGCTTTCCCAGGACATGAGTCTGCCACAGAAGCTCACTCTTAACCGAGGTGTTACATAGGACACAACTCAGCTGCCCCAAACGGTTATACTTCGCGAATGGAGATTCTATCCGTTTCCGATTGGTGCTCAAACGTTGCTTCTCCTTCATCAACCGCCGCAGTTCGTCCTGATTTACCACTCGCTTCCCCGCCGAAGTACGAGAGGAGGCGGACGACGCCATTTTTGCGACCGGACCCAAGGCGATTCTGACTTCCGCCCCGGCGATGCTTGAACACATCATTTCCTGTTCTGGCTGTGATTGGCTGAGGCTCAGAGTGAGGCACGGCTGGGTTTTCCTCAGCCAGAATCGCTGCTTTTGTCAGGGAAATCGGTGCCTTGTTTTTTCTCCCTATGGCTGCAGTCAAGGCCGTAAACTCCAAAGCTGAGGTGGCGCGGGCCCAAGCCGCTTTGGCTGTCAATATATGCGCCGCCCGAGGGCTGCAGGATGTACTGCGAACCAACTTGGGTCCTAAGGGCACTATGAAAATGTGAGGCAGAGGTTGGAGCGGCGGTTAGGGCACGGGGAGTTGTTGGGTGTGTGGGAGTGCTGAGGTAGAAGTTCCGCAAAGAGATTGGCGCGATGTGGGACGGCTTGTGGGCTTGTTTCCCCAGTTCTCATTCTTGTCCTGAGGTCGTTTCCCGCTTGATGGCGGAAGAGGAGAAAAACCTCCCGAGGCTGTGATTGAAACTATGGAAACCCTTTCACCCCACCAACTTCTCACTGTGATGTGCATATGCAATTACAAAGTCAATTCACTTAGTGTCTCAGTAACGTAAGCCATTCAGTCCTCTTGGTCTTTGAGACTACGTACCCTTAGTGTGTAAATTTGACAGATTGATTTTGCGTTTGTGTGGCAATGGCTTTGGAGCCAGGCAGGGATGAGTTCAAGTTCCATAACCTGTCTGTGACTCGTTAGGTATATCACTTGGTCCCTCTGTACCTATGGGTCTTCATATCTATTCAGCCTCTCAGCATGAGTTTATTTAGCACCATCATTTTCTTTGGAAGAAGGTGAGAGAAAAAGAATGGTGGGGGGAAATGGATATAAGAGGAGAGAGAGAGATCGATCTTTAAAGGAATAATTAATATTAACTAAATATAACTGTGCTAGTTATTGGGAACACAGATGGCCAAGATAGAGTTTCTGTTTTTAAGGAAATATGGTAGGGGAAGACAGATGTGCTAATAGTTTATATCTCTATCTTGTATTGAGGAAAGGGAGTAATTATATGTGGAAGAAAGAGAGGCCTCTCAAATGACAGATGATGTTTGATCAGTCTTGAAAGAAGAATAAGAGTTCACCAGTTGGAGAAGGGAGGAAGACCCTTCTAGGTAGGGCAGCTTCAGGAACAAGAAAGCCCAAAGATGTAAATCCAATAGAAACAAAAACAAAGAATGATGTATAGAGAGAACCACAAGATCTGCTTATGGGAGAGTGGTAGATGAGGCAGGAAAGATACAGAAGCCAGATTGGGAAAAGTATGTCATTGTTAAATAGTTTGGCTTTTACTTGGAAGGTGATGGAGAACATAACATTAATTGAAGGATTTTGATTAGGAATCTGACTAAATCACATTGCCTTTTAGAAAGATAAATGTAATGTGGAGGGTGATTTCAAATTCAGAGAGATCAGGAGAATGTTGAAGTAGTCTGGGGTAGAAATGATTACAGTAGAAATGGGAGAGAAGGAGGTAAATCCAAAAGATGTTTAGGTTGTAGAACGGACAGAATTGGTGACCTAGTAAATATGAGGGCTGAGGGAAACTAAGTTGAGTAACTGAATGAATGATAACATTCACCAAAATAAAAAACCTGCAGGAAATTTGGAAATTTGTGGCTTGTAGACTTCCAAGTACTTTTCTTTGAACAAGCACTGTTTATAGCCCATCACCTGCTATCTTTAAACCTGTAGATGAGCCATTTGGAATGAAATAGCCCTAGCAGTCCATCTTGAGAAAAATGATTCTGTGGACTGCAAACGGCAGTAACTACTATGGTGTCCCTTGTGGTATGGTAGAAGTTTTCCAAACCCAGTTCCCTGTATTAAGGATAGTGGAATGACAAGCCCTGGAAGTGCCTTCTTGACTCTTGCTCTGGAAGGTTAATAATACCACTCTTCTCTGGGTAGGCTTGTTTCTGGAGCAGGTGACATCAAACTCACCAAAGATGGCAATGTGCTGCTCCATGAGATGGTGAGCTGATGCTGCTGACTTTAATAACCTTAATAAACTTTAATTAGTAACATAGTATGACTTGTATGTTTTTAAACCAAGGCTACAGTCTTGAGATACACTTGGTAGATTAAACTTCAATAAAAATGTTTATTGGCTATTTTCAATTCTTTGTATAGTCTAAGTAATAGCTTAGGGGTACTTCCAAATTAATAACATCATTTAAAGGCACTGCATTATATTCTTTGTAGTCAGGGAAAAATAAAATGGTATTCAGTTTTAGTAAATGTATTCATCTTTGAGATTGAAAGATTTAATCTTATTTTGAAAATGTCATTGCATTCTGAAGCAGAAACTCTTTTAAAATGTTCAAACCTCATTACTTCTCAATTTTAAAATTTTGAACTTGACATTTATTAAATATTGATAATACAAAACTTGTAAACTTACAGAATGAAACTTCATTTCTTAATTTTACCATTGACTTTAAGGTTATCTTGTTTTTGGTGAACTACATCTTTATCACCTTTTCTCTTTTTCAATCTGTTGCTTAATTTTTCCAGCAAATTCAACACCCAACAGCTTCCTTGATAGCAAAAGTAGCAACGGCCCAGGATGACATTACAGGAGACGGTACTACTTCAAATGTTCTAATTATTGGAGAATTACTAAAACAAGCTGATCTTTACATTTCTGAGGTATTAGAATTTTGTAGAATTTGCACTCATTAGTACTTTATTTTGAATGAAAAGTTACTTGTTTATGAGTGAAATGGTTTTATTTTAGAGGGTGAAAGTTAATTTGAATCAAGATATTCTTGGACAATTACAAATGAGAAAAAGTAATAAACTTTTTCTCCCCTAAACTAATCCCTTTTATTGGAATTATATCTCTTTAAAAAATGAAATATTGAAGATGTATTAAAAAGTGAAAAAAAAAAAAAACCTATGTACCCAAAGCTAGCCTAAGAAAACATTGATAAAGTTGAAACCAAGTTATGCACTGTTTTAAAAATAACTGGAGAAAACTATTGAAGGTTTTCTGCATTGTAAATTTACCTACCTTCATAATTTTCTTTTATAAACCATCTACTCTAGCCAGACTCCCCTACTCACTAGCCTCTGAAATCACTACACACGTTTCTATCTCTACCTCTTTTCAGTCTGTATTCTTTTCTTGGCATTACTTATCACTCTTTTTCAAGTAAGTATTTGCATTTTTCCTCTCAGGAAAAATTTCAGCAAAGCATAACGTAGCCAAATTGCTAAAGTTATTATTTTCTTTGTGTTTCATTTCATTTAGTATTTGGAATTTTATATTAATTCAATATCTGCTACTTATATCAATTAGGATGCTTTTGGCTATAATAGTGGAAACTTGAAACTCAAACAATAAGGAAATTATTATCTCCCATAACAGAACATATAAAGATAAGGCAGGCCCCAGGGTTGGTTGATTAAAAAATTTAATCAGTTGTTTTATTCAGCTCTTTTCTGTCTCAGCTTTTTCACTCACAATGCTATTTCATCCTAAGGCTTATTTCCATCTTGAAAGTAAGATTGCTGGAGGTAATCATAGCTACATATTTATTTTAGTATAACACCCAGCAAGAGAAGGAAAGAGAAAACCATTCACCCAGATACTGAATACAAATCCTTTAGTATGATTGACAAACTTTGCTCTTATGGCCAACCCAAACCAATAACACTTTTAAGGGTAATGGACTTAGGCTAATCAGGATCTATCTCTTGAGCTGTGGATAGGCTTCCTCTGAAGTACATGAGAGAAAAACCTAAACAAAATTAGGGTTAGGAATAAAGGTATTTTGGGAGAGGGTACATAACTATCAATACAAGTATGAAACGTTGGTATAGTGATAGAGTGAGGCACAGGTTATGATAGAAGCACTGAGGCAGGATGATAAACTAGCCTGAGGTAGTCAGAAAGAGCTTTCTGGGGGAAGTAAGGCCTGGGCTAAGTCATCAGGCTGTATAGGAATGAGCCAGATGAAAGAGTGAAGGGTAAGGAGAATGATGGCATTCCAGAAGGAAGGGAAGACATGAGCAAAGGCACAAGAAGTAACCTGATAGGTATCTAGAGCTATGAGTAGTTTGGTATTGCTGGAGTTTAAAGTGTTGTGGATTGTAGTAGGAAAGAGGCTGCAGAAGTAGGTAGGAGGGCTAGATTACAGAGGGCATATATATCAACCAAGAAGTTTATTCTTTATCCCACTGGTGTTGTGGAGCAAACATATTCACATATTGTTGAGAGATATGGTCAGAATGGCATTTAAAATATTATTTGGGGAACAGTTTTAAAGGAGGTTCTCATAGTAACCCAGATGAGAGATCGTGAGTCCTAAATTTAGGAAAGTTTTTTGAAAATGGTTAATAATGCAGGCTTTGGAGTCGGCCATTGTTGGTTGAAATCCTGGCTTCAATTTTACTAGTTGAGTAATCTAAGGCAAGTTGCATGATCCCTTTAAGCCTGGGTGTCCTCCTCTGTAAAATGGGAATAATAATAACAACACCTCTTTCACAGTGTTGGGAGCTCTGGTGGTGTAATGCCTAAGGCATCTGACTGCTGACCAGATGATATAAATTGGTGGGTGGTTCAAACCCACCAGCCACTCCTCAGAAGGAAGATTGGGCAATCTACTTCTGTAGAGGTACTGCCTTGGAAACCCAAGGAGGGGTTGCTGTGAGTCGGACTTGACTCCACGGCAGTGAGTTTGGTTTTTTCCCCCACAGTGTTGTTGAGAGGATTACATTAAATAATGTATGCAAAGCACAGAGTAGTGCCTGGTACAAATGCTTAATAAATAAGAACTTAAAAAAAATTATTATAAGGCTGATATAAAGGATTGGAGGGAAACAAGACCTAGAGGTAGTTTTCAAGAAGTTTGTGTATTATCTTGCAGGATAAATAATAGCCTCTCTCTCTCTCTCTCTTTCTCTCTCTCTCTCTCTCTCATGTCCTATTTCAGACTTACAGCAGATGCAAGAATATTACAAAAAATTCCCATATATTTTTTTCACCAGATTCCCCTGGTGCTGTCTCCCTCCCTCTCTATTATATAAATATGTGCCTATCTCTTGCTAACATATGTATCTTGTTATATATATATGGAAGAGAAAGAGAGCTAAGCACATTTTTTTTTCTGAATGGTATGAGAATAAATTGCAGATATGATGATCTAAATATTACAGTGTGTATTTCTTAAAACTAGGAATTATATAGCCAAAATATAATTGCCCAAGCCAGTAAATTAATATTGATGTTGACACATTGATACAGTACTGTTACCTAATCTGCAGTTTAAATTCAGATTTCACCACTTGTTCCAATAGTGTCTTTTATGGCAAAGCAAATCTAGACTTATGTTACATTCAGTTGTTGTGTCTGTTTAATCACCTTTAAGCTGGAATAATTCTTGAGCATTCCTTGTATTTCATGACATTGCCACTTTTAACGTATAGGCTAGTTATTTTATAGAAATGTTCTCAACTTGTATTTGTCTGTTTCCTCATGATTAGACTCAAGTTACAAACGTCTAGCAGGAACACCATAGCAGTAGTGGTATGTTTTTCTCAATGCATCATATTAGAAGCGATATGATATCTGTTTGTCCCATTACTGTGATGTAAACTGATCACTTGGTTAAGGTAGTATATATCTGTCAGTTTTCTGCAAGTCAATGCTGGTTTTTCTCCCCCTCTGCATTGAAAATCTTTTGTTTTTTCTTTGGTGCCAATTCAGAAGGTCATGGCACAACAATGTAATCATAATTTTCTAAAAAAAAAGACTTGTATTTGTTTTTTAATTAGATATGTAACTTTTCTGTAAAATATGATGCACTGAGAAAAAGACTTATGAATTACATACATACATTTATATTTAGTGGCATTGATATAGGTGATACTACTTTTTTGGACATAGCTATTAATAATAAAGCATAATTACTTTTACTTTGGATGACTTACTTCATAATTTATAGTTTTATGTTGCTATAATAGGGCCTGCACCCTAGAATAATAACTGAAGGATTTGAAGCTGCAAAGATCAAAGCACTTGAAGTTTTAGAGAAAGTTAAAATTAAAAAGGAGATGAAAAGGGAAATCCTCTTAGATGTGGCTAGAACATCTTTACGAACTAAGGTTCATGCTGAGCTGGCTGATGTGTTAACAGAGGTATGTGATTAAACTTTTCATATTTAGAAGGAGGGTATCCTGACACATGGTGATATTTTTCTTTTTCCTGTTAAGATAATTAAGTATTGCACGCAGTTCTTTTGAACATAAAATATGGAGACAAACATTTATAGACTTACCTATAGGCTAGATTTGATTGTTTAGGATGGTATTCTGTTTTTCTCAACTATCATAAAGTTAGAAAAGTTTTTCTAAGGTAATATAATATTTGGTTTTAAGTGACTTGAAAGTTGGGAGAGGCTTGGCTATCTGTGGACCATGTCTTGTAGATGCTGTTGGGGTGGTGTGGTTGTTAAGGTGTGGTAACTTGGCTGGGCTGTAATTTTGAGTGGCTTGGCAGCTGGATGTAATTATTCCCCATGATGAGACTGGACATGATGTAATCACTTTCATGGTGCAATCTGCTGTGAGCAGTTAATAAGTTGAGGGAGAATTGCCTTTGGGGTGTGGGCTGTTTCCAGTGTATATAAAAAGGATCCTGCATTTGGTTCAGGCTTCATCTCCAGTTCCTAGACCTGAACTTGTGCCCTGTCATGTTGCCTGCTGATCTTGGGCTTGTTGCCTTTGTAGCCTGTGAGCCAGCAATCTGCTTTCTTACATGCAGATCTTGGATTCATCAAGCTTCAGCATCCATCAACTGTGTGAGTCAGGAGAACGCTCCAGGTTGCTTCAGTGGGCCTGTAAGGCAGAGCTGAAGCCAACGGTTGAGGGGCTTCTACCCAGCCCCTACAGCCAGCACTCAACTTCTAGCCTAGTCTTCCCCTAGAGCCAGCATTCTAAATTCAGACTTCTAGCCTCCTAAACTGTAAGAGAATAAATACCTGTTTGTTAAAGCCATTCACTTGTGGTATTTCTCTTACAGCAGCACTAGAGAACTAGGACAGGTAGTACACTGGTCTTTTTAAACCTTGAGGTCCATGTTTTAATATGTGAGTTAACACATGAGGAAGTTGTTTTGGCAGTGTGCCTTGTGATTAAAGTTACGATTTTAGTGAAGCGTTGTTGATCTGGTGGAAAAAAATTCACATTTGGAAAATGCATATTTGTTTAACTTTTAATACTAGGATTTATGTAATATAAGAACAAGGTTGGCTGTATATTTTGGGAAGGCTTTTATCAGGTGGCTATAGTTTGATAGTATCGTTATTGGTTTTCTGCTTTGTGGTTTCTAAAACTTAAATATATTGGTTATCAGGAATGATCAATTTATAACAACCAGATTCCCAGGAGATTGACTTATAAATCAGAATGCCATCTTATTAATTTATTTTTGTGAAATATAAATGCCAAATGGACTGGAACACCTGAGCTGTTTCTGGTTGGTTCTTACCAATAGGGAAGTCTACTTGTGATATCAGATTAAGATCAGTTTCTTGCTGAGGAGGGACTGGATAAAGACTATAAGAACTTGCTGCCTTTTCTACTGTTGGAGTATACATGTATTAAGTGCCTGGGGTCCTTATGATTAGGGCCCCATTCTTTTCTTGGAGCTATGGAAACACTTATATTCTCACTATCTAGGTAGTCTTTTTTCATTATTCCCTGTTAGGCACCAAAAGGAAATAAATGTTACTTCAGGTAAACTTTTCTGAGATGTATATGTGTCTGTGTGTGTGTGTGTGTGTATATATATATATATATATATATATGTATGTATGTGGGGAGATCTATCTATCTTATCTTTATTTTAGGGTGGTTATCCTCTAGCACTTAATTTCTGTAGGCAGTTCTTTTCATATTATATGAGTAAAGCAATAAATAGGATGTGTTGGCCTGTGCTTCTCGGATTGCATATCCTTGAAGATATTTGGCAGAATAAATAAAACACATCTTTTTGGAGTGTCAGTTTTACTTTAGGATTTTGGGGAAAAGCATTACTTTCACATTAAAACAAATATATTCTGGCATGATATAGAACTTTTTCATGATAAAACATGATATTTTGAAAATTGTCATTGTTATAACTAGCAAATAAAGGTATTCTTTAGTGGAACAGTTTGAGTAGTGTTGGTATAGTAGAAAGATCATTTAGTTTAAAAGACCTGAATTCTAGTCATGGCTCTGCTACTAGCTATTAGACCCTGTGTTTTAGTTCTCTAGTACTGCTCTAATAGAAAATACCACAGATGGGTGGCTTTAACAAACAGGAGTTTATTCTCTTACAGTTTGTTGTTGTTATGTGCCATTGAGTCGGACTCGACTCATAGCGACCCCTCCTGGGGTTTCCAAGGCAGTATCACTATGGAAGTTGATTGCCCCATCTTCCTTCCGAGGAGTGCCTGGTGGGTTTGAACTGCCAGCCTTCTGGTTAGCAGTCAAGTGCCTTAGGCACTACGCTACCAGAGCTCTCGTTTTACAGTTTAGAAGGCTAGAAATCTGAGTTCAAAGTGCCAGCTCTAGGGGCTGAGTGAAAGCCCTTCAACCTTGGGCTTCAGCTCTGCCTCATGTTCCTGGCCTACTGAAGCTGGAGGCATCTCTTAGCTTGGGCAGCTGCTGGCTGCTGAGGCTGACAAACCCAAGGTCTACAAATAAAATGGCACAGTCCCAAAATTTCAAGCACCACTGTTAATTCAAGTCCATTAATAATCCCAATGTCAGCAGACAGCACAGCAGGCAACTGAGATGAAGACTTGGTCTAAACATGCCAAAAGCTCCAGAGACCTTTCTCAATGCTGCTTCTTATATACTGGAAGCAGACCACATCCCTAAGGCAGTTGCTTAGCTGCTCTATTAGGTTCCACTATGGAGTTGATTACCAGTCTCATCTTAGGGTATAACTACAGCCAGCTGCCCAACCAATCAAAACCAGGCCCAGCCAAGTTGGCACACAGCCTTAACTACCACACCTTATTTTAAGATTATATCTCAGTTTCCTTATGTATGAAATGAAGGGATTGGATCTGATGATCTCTGAAGTTCTGTCAGTTCCACTGGCATTAGTCACTAGGTCCATAACAAAATGGCACTTTTGGCCTTGCACTATGCTTGGTAGAATGTTATATACTTTTTTGGAGCCTAAAGCCTTTTACCTGCTTAGTGTAGTGATAGATTACTTGGCCCAGTAGTTTAATAGATCAAATAATTTACTGTTCTCATTCACTTCTCTTTCAGGCTGTGGTGGATTCTGTTTTGGCTGTTAGAAGACCAGGTTATCCTATTGATCTCTTCATGGTAGAAATCATGGAGATGAAGCATAAAGCAGAAACAGATACAACGTAAATTACATAAAATTTTGACAACACATAGATTTTTCTTTAGTTATCTTCAGATATTTAATTAATTTCATTACTTACTTTCATTCAACACACACAAATATCCATTTCATTTATGTATTAATTGGGTATTTACCACTGTTCTTGGTGCTGGAATGACGAGTAAATAAAACAATTTATTTCCCTAAGGACCTTTCATTTCCAAGGGGAAGAGATAGATGGTAAACAAATAAATAAGTGATGATAGATGTTATGAATAGGCTAGAGTGATAATGTGTGAGCATGAGTGATTTTACATTGGACAGGGAAGGCCACTTTGATGAGAAATTAGCGAGCTAAGGAGGTCTCTCAGGAAATAAGGGAGCTAACCATGTGAATGTCTGGAAGAAAAGTGTTCTAAGCAGAGGGAATAACAAGTGAAAGACCCTGAAAATATGCCCAGAACACAGTAAGAGGAAAAAGTACTAAGAGATGAGGTCAGAGATATAATAGGGGCCACCTGAAGCAGCACTTTGTTGAGTTTGGACTTAACACTTCTTAAAATGTTTATTATAAAAAATTCTAAACATACATAACAGTAGAGAAAACGGAATAGTGAATCCCCATGTACTTGTCACTCATGTTCATCACTTTTCAATATATGTCCAGTCTTATTTCATCTGTACCTCTCCCTTTGTTCCTCTACCCACCCTCTGCCAAACTTAGATTATTTTGAAGCAGAACCTGACATATTTTCCCTGTAAATACTTCAGTTGAAGTATCTACATCTATAAAGTATCTTTTTATTTACGTAACACATTCACATTACTGAATCTAAAAATTAGTAATTATTTAATGTTGTTGTTATGTGCCATCAAGTTGGACCCGACTCATAGTGACCCCTACTTGGGTTTCTGAAGCAGTATCACTACGAAGTAGATTGCCCCATCTTCCTTCCGAGGTGTGGTGGATTTGAACCACCAGGCTTCTGGCTAGTAGTCAAGTGCCTTAGCCACTATGATACCAGAGATCCCAATTATTTAGTAGCATCACATACATAAGTATTCCAGTTTCAACAATTGTCTCATAATTTTTTGTTCGTGTTAGTTTTGTTTGAATCAGGATCCAAACACAGTCTACACATTACATTTGCTATATCTCACATTGCATTTGCTGTATCTCTTAAGTCTCTGTTAATTTGTAGGCACACAACACTCCATCAGCAAGCTTCTTGCCCAAAGGCACTCAACTTTCTCTCTCTGTAGGCTGGCAAGTCTGCTGCTCTGCTTCATGCCTCTTGGTTTCACTGCCAGTGGTATCAACCAGTCATTTCTGCCAATGAAGTCCAGTGCAGGGATCTCAGGTCCAAGAACCCGCTCCACTCTACCTCCAATTCTCTTAATGACAGTGAGATCCCTCCTTCTGCCTCTTGTTGTTGTTGTTGTTAGGTGCCGTCGAGTTGACTCCAACTCATAGCCATCCTATGTACAACAGAATGAAACACTGCCCAGTCTTGTGCTTCTATTTTAATGCTGTACCTGAGCCCATCATGGAGCCACTGTGTCAGTCCATCTCATTGAGGGCCTTTCTCTTTTTTGTTGACCCTCCACTTTACCAAGCATGATGTCCTTCTCTAGGGAATGGTCCCTTCTGACAACATGACCAAAGTAGGTGAGACAAACTCGGGCCGTTCTCACTTCCAAGGAGCATTTTGGCTGCACTTCCTCCAGGACAGATTAGTTCATTTTTCTGGCAGTCCATGATACTTTCAGTTTTCTTTGCTAACGCTACAACCCAAAAGCTCAGCTCTTCTTCTGTCTTCCTTATTAATTGTCTCACTTTCACATGCACATGAGGTGATTGAAAACACCATGGCTTGGGTTAGGTGCACCTTAGTCTTCAAAGAGACATCTTTGCTCTGCAGCACTTAGAAAAGTCTTTTGCAGCAGGTTTTCCCAGTGCAATAAGTCGTCTGATTTCTTGACTGCTGCTTCCATTGGTGTTGATTGTGGAACCAAGCAATAGGAAATCTTTGACAACTTCAATCTTTCCTTCATTTATCATGATGCTGCTTACTGGGCCAGTTGTCAGGCTTTTTGTTTTCTTTATATTGAAGTGTAATCTATACTGCAGACTGTAGTCTTTAATCTTCATCAGTAAGAGCTGCCAATTATCGTCACTTTCAGCAAGAAAGGTTGTGTTGTCTGCGTATCGCAGGTTAATGAGTCTTCCTCCAATCCTGGTGCCACATTCTCCTTCATATAGTCCAACTTCTTAGGTTATTTGTTCAGCATACAGATAAATACGGTGAAAGGATACAACTCTGATGCACTGCTTTCCATTAAGCCTAGCAGAATTTTCAAAACTAACCAGTCCTCACATTAGGGTTCATATACCTTATTTGCGTGGTCCCACCCCCATAAGGGTGCCATGTACCTTATCCAGTCCCCTTGGTAGCCCACAAACACCTTATATTTGCATAATTCTACCCAGTCATCTTGTAGGAATCACAAAGACCATGGCTAGGAGAGCCATACCAAGTAGTTCACTATACCACAATGGTTATAGGGCTAGTTAGGTTTTCTACTTATTTTTGAGTTATTTTGGTAAGTAATGTTTTTTCCAGAAATTTATCCATTTTGTTTAAATCTCCATAATTTTTGGCATAAAGTGTTCAGAAATATCCTCTTGTATTTTAATGTTTGCAGGATCTATAATGATATCCTCCTCTTACCTGCTATTTGTGCCTTCTCTCTGTTTTGATAAGCTTTGCCAGAGGTTTTTATGTTTGCTTTTCATTTCATAATGTTTTTCTCTTTACTATTTAATTTCTTGGGACTTTTTTATTTTTTGAGATGGTGACTTATTAATTTTCAGCTATCTGATTTCATAATCAGTATTTAAAGCTTTACATTTTTTCTCAAAATTCTATTTAGATTCATCCCTCAAGTTTTGATAGATCATTTTATCCATTTTAATTCAGTTTAAATTACTTTCTAATTTCTACTTGAAGTGTGTTTCTTAATTTCAAAATACATGGGAAATTTTCATTTATTCTTTTCTAGTTTAAAAAAATACATTATGGTCAAAAAATATGAGATTCCACTCCTTTGATTTGTTGAGAGTTCTCTATGGCTTCATGTATATTCAATTTTTATAAATGTTTTATGTTCTTGACAGAAATAATGTGTATGTTGCCATTATTAGATGTAATTTTATATGTGTCCACTTGAATCAAGGGATCAAGTTTATTAATCCTGTTATTCAAACCATCTATATCCTTACTGATGTTTTAACTGCTTATTCTATCAGTTACTGAGAGACATATGTTAATATATTTCAGTATGTTTTTTATTTATGACAGTTTTGATTTGTATATTTTGAGACTGTTATTAGCTACATACAATTTTTAAATTGTTATATTGTCTTGGTGCTTTGAACTTTTTGTATCATTTAAAGTAGCTATGTTTTCTCTTTGCTGGTCTGCAGATGCTTTTATTGCCTTTATTTCATTTTCATTCTTTACTTTTTCACTGTGTGTAAAATACTAAGTTGGTAGTTATTTTCTTTTTTTTTTTTTTTTT